CTTGGAGAGGTCACCTTGACTCGATTCGTCGCATCTTATGCTCCGCCATTAAGTCACATATTCGCCTGTCCCCTCCCCGCCTTCAATCGCGCTCGGCCAAGCTCCAATTTGGGTGTTTCCTCGCCGACGGGCCGATAAGGCCGTGATCGGCAGGTGCCGATGGTAGCCCTCCAGCTAACCACCTAGAGCCAAATCGCTGCACTACTAGCGTAGCCTAGAACTCCTCTTCCTTTTGTGCGCCTTAGCCTTACCGCTACCGCCACCCCAGCGCTGCTAACCCGGCCGTGTCCACCGTGGTGCGTTGCCGCACCGTTCGATCGCACGCGGCCAGCCCTGCTCAGGTAGTCTTCGACCGAACCATCACCACGGCAAGGTTTGTGGTGAACCCTTGATGCTTCTCGCTACCTCTACTACTATGTTAGCACCATAGCTCTCCAGAACGGTTACGCCACTGTCGCATACGACCGCATACCGTTGCCGCCCGCTCCAATGCATCCCGCTGCATCTCACTACCGCTTAGTGTAGGCGCTAGTGCCATACGTGGAGGTCGGCCTGTCAGTTGGGCCTGCGCGAGCCTCCGGTGGCCGGCATAACCACCTCGTGCCACCGCCCACCGCGTCGCCGTGCACAGAGTCATCGGGGCATGCTCGAGGAAATTCGAGTAAAGCCAGGGTGTTCAATGAATTCGTTAGAGAGACATAGGAATAGTATAGCGGGTTTAGGTGTAATTCGAGATAAGCTCGAGATCTCTGTTGCAAAAGCGCCATCGTGCACGGGCTTCCCCGCCGTGGGCCATATCGCGCTTGGGCCTCGTCCACGCGGGACACGCGTAAATGGGCCGCTGGAATCATTTTCTTTTTCTTAGGAATTGGTTAATGCTTTTCTAATTTAAATTTCTGAGCTAAATTTGTAAACTTAATATAAAATTGTATCGATGTCCAAAAATATTGTGAAACTAATTTTGCTAGGCTCCTAAAATTGTGATTTACCTATTAGTATAGTTAGTTCATACATATCTGTGTTGGTACTAAGGTCTAATAAATCACTTGAAAGTGTTTAATATTATTAGGATAATTATTGTAGGAATTTTTGTGGTAGATTGGTGATAGCTTTAATCCTCAAATTTTTACCGTAGCTTCATTGCATTATTATGTGCTCATTGTAATTTTTGTGGCCTTAGACTAGACTAAACATTAGGTTAGTTAAATGTTCTTTGTTTGAATATACATTAAATCTTTAATAGAAATAAAGGCATACCATTGAATTATGAAACTAGGTGCTTGTTAGTTGAACACAATGCTTTGCTTGATGAAGATGATAGTTAGCTTAGTATCTTAGTCATTAGAGCTAGTTTAGTAGCTTAACATGTGTATTCTTATTTTAAGAGTTGTTGTTGCTTAAATACTAAGTTGTTGCATCATCGTCATCGCATGCATATAGAGAACGCGTTCGAGGAGATCATCGAGGAATACGAGGATGAGATTCTCATGCAGGAGGTCCCGGAGCCACCACTGACTAACTCAGCTAACAACATGCCTACCCAAGGCAAGCCCTAGTGCATAACCTCTATTTTTCATATCCACCGTATATATATATATATATATATGTGTGTGTGTGTGTGTGTGTGTGTGTGTGTGTGTGTGTGTGTGTGTGTGTGTGTGTGTGTGTGTGTGTGTGTGTGTGTGTGTGTGTGTGTGTGTGTGTGTGTGTTGTGCATTTACGTTGCATGAAGATTTTGTGGAAACCACATGCACATATATATATCTACCCTATGAGTTCTACTAGTGTAGGTTCAAGTAGATGTTATGCTTATGTCATTGGTAGCGTGAGTAATCTATCGTTGCTCACAATAGGTGATTATTATTACTCTCATAATAAAAGGATGAAGAGAAAATAGAGATCGGGCAGGGATAGGGTATGGGTTACTGGTGGGCGTAACAAGTTGTGTCCCGCGCAGCCACGGGGATTAGCTTGGTTACACTATTTTCCCTATCCGTGTCAATTAAGGACCGTACATTGTTGTGGATGGTAGTCAGGTCATAGACTTATTATCCTGAGCACATACTTGCTTATGGGAGCGGGAAGGCTCGTTGTGCTCTTGCCATGGGTTTTGGCTCTTTTTGGACCGACTGATTAGAGGCGGAGAAAGGTGGAGGTCTAAGCACCATGCTAAGACCGGTTCTCAAGTGTGGGGGTTTGGAGTTCAAGTTTGGGCGGGGACCTAGACCCCTTGACATAAGTGAAATGGGTTGGTCTCGTTTGTGCCTAGGGTACAAGCGAGACGTGTGTTCCAGGATACCTAGCTAGGATACATTGGTTTACAAATTATCGTTTTTCATGAGAAGGCACGACTTGGCTATGGTCTAGCACCGTAGTAAGAACTAGAATATAAAAGATGGTAAAATGGTTTTGAATGCTCAACCCTTGCTTGAAGATAGAACAGGTGCTTACCTAGAATGGTTATCTAATAAAGTAATCATGACTGCTAATAAAACTTGACCTTAAGGACGCACTATTAGTAATGCTTTCCGCCAATAAAAGAAACCAGCAGACCATATTGCTTATCATATCCTTGAGACTCGGGAAACTATTCCCACTAGTTGGATAAGTCTTGCGAGTACATTATGTACTCAGGGTTTGTTTTACCCCGTTGCAAGTGTAGCTTGAAGTTAGCTCTTATGTAGAGGATTCTTCTGGTGGACACAGATGGATCCGCGTATCGTTTCAGCTAGATGATTATTACATTTTCCACTGTTTAATTATCACACTCTGAACTCTGGTATTATAATAAATAATTTCCAAGACTCTATATTGTATGAAATGGACTAAGTATTATAAGCTCGTACTTATTATTGGATTATGGATGTAAAACGTGGATTGTTTTGAGTTCTTCCTTGGGGTGTGCTTGACGGAACTGCCCATTTTAGCCCACTGTTGGGGTGCTTAGTGTTTAGTGAAAGACGAGCGCCTCCAAAAGTGTATTAGTCCAGGCGGTTCTGCCACACCTCGACCTCGTCCTCGTTTCCGGTGCGCGCGACGGCTCCATCACCCTTGTCTCCACCAGCGCCTTTGTCTCCGGCCTCGACATCATCTCCACCGGCGCCTTCATTTCTAGCCTCGTCCTCGCTGCTGCCACCAGGTATTCGACCTCGATCGCCTCGCCTCATCCCTTCCTGCTGTGTGAAACTGAGTGCTAAACATATAGCACAAGTATATATATACATTGCACATATCCGAGTGGCACTCTAGGCAACTGCAATTTATTTCTTAACATACTTTAGTGAATTTTGATATGTATTTTGGTATATAGACTTTAGTGATATGCATTTTGGTATATGAAAAATATTGACTTCAGTGATATATATATAGGGAAATTTTTATGAATATATGAATTTTGGTGTATAAATTCATATATTGACTCTAGTGATATAAATTTTTATATATTAACTTTAGTGAAAAGAGATGGCTGGACGTCTCCATGAACCGATTGTCCCGGGTTGGGGCTATTGTATTGCTTGGGGATTCGAACCAAGTTTGCCGGATGTATCGATCAATCATCCTAGCATAGTAAGCAACGATATATATTTTCATACATTAATATGTCTTAAATACGCTTGTACACAATATATTTTTCTGATATGTATATATATGTGTTTCTTTAATGTACCGTAGGTAATTGACCCAATCATTTGGCTTGAAAAGACACTTTCATATTTTGGGGTTGAGAGAGTGGATGTTGAGAGGTTTGATGTAGATAATGGTCGATTGGTCCAATCTCGAATGAGCTTTTCCATCGCCGCTAGGAGGGGTACAGGTGTTGTACAAATATGAGATGTGGGAGTAAAGGCACCTGAGAAGAAAGTTGCAATTATATATGTTGTCAAATCATGTTTGAATAAGCTTGCAAATATTGGGTACACCCTGCCTACACTATCCTCCATGATGATACAAGCAATAGATGTGGGCTCGTATCATGATGTTGCGGGCTTCTGTGCAAGGATTGCTCAAACCAACCGAAATGATGTGGTAAAGTCGAAGTCGAACTCATAGCTTATATTCAGATTTGTTGTTATTTGAAAGCTTTGTTCTCATATCCATTTTTTTTGTGCCAACAATTATAGGTTGAGGACTATGACTTAACATATGCAAGTTGTAGCTTTGAAGCTATTCTAAACCAAACAATGTATGCATTGGGATTTGATTGAAAATATGCCGATTAATGGCCAACACTTACTATGGAAGGATTTCAGGAAAAGTTGATTATGACTAAGAGGGGATCATCCGACCCACCGACTTCTCGACCACCACTTACCGTCGTTAGTAGACACCGTGTTCGTACTTTTAAAGCAAAGGAGAGTGCACTACTTAATACGTTGCTCTACGTCAATAATATTTGTGGATACAAAATTGGGACCTACATTTTGTTGAGTACATAATACGACGTAGTCAAACTTGGCGGTGATCTACTTGAGCTTGCATGAACTTGGTGTGTAATTGAACTTTGGGGTTGAACATCTAATTTATTGTAATGACTTGTTTTAAATTATTATGGTTTATATGAACTTGATGAATGGGGATGATCATTGTAATATATAAGTTCTTAATTAGTTTCATTCTTATTTATGGATGACGTACAATAGTATATCATATAATACATGTACGAAAACTATTTGAAAGAAAACAAATTGAATGGTAAAAACTGTAAAACAAAAGAAAAGAAAAAAAAATAGAAAATGGGATATTTAGTCGCGGTTGGTTTTACCAACCGGGACTAGAGGTGGTCGCCCTCGGGCTCGGCCTGGAGCCCCTTTAGTCTTGGTTGGCCCCCATTTAATCCTGGTTTGATGGCTCGGGACTAAAGGGCGGGCCTTTAGTCCCGGATTAGCACTTTCGGTTGGGAAAAACCGGGACTAGAGTGGGTTTCCCAATCGAGACTGCAACCCAGTCCTGCAGTAGTGTGTGCCATCAGGATCATTATCATAGACGGCGTCCTCCTCCTCTTAGATGTCAAGATCATAGTCGATACCGTCGTCAAGGTCGAGGAACTCCACATTGCCCGGCAAGAAGCTGGTGATATCCAGGACAATCCTCGGCAGCTGAGCTGGAAGACACCGCCATCGCCGGGAGAGGACTCCGACCCGGACGGCGTCACGGAGGGGGAGCTTCTGCAGGATTGAAACTAGGACGTCGCTGGGCAACTGGCTTAGCAAGTCGTCCTCCGACGACTCCATAATGATCAGCTAGCTAGCTTCGTCCGATAATGACCACGAAGACGAGACGATGATGGCTTCCAAATTAAACTCTCGATCGCCTATTATATCTCACCAATGCATGCAGAAAAAAGAAACCCTAGCTAGGCCTCCTAGCCCTTGGCTGCGCGGCGGCCTCCCTTCCCTATCCTCGCTCGCTGTTCGCCTCGGTCGTCCTTATTGCGTGTCATGCATGCATGGTGCTCTCCTGAATCCGGCCGGTTTGTTGCGAATTTGCTTGCAGCGTGCTGCCTGCTGGGTTTTCAACTGCCCGCGTATGGGGGTTGTCTTCATCTGGGTTTTCAACTGCTTCCTTCTGACGTATACCTCTTGTATGACCAGGGTAGGGATATTCCGTGCCCTTCGTTGATCCCTAGCAGTTTTTTTTTCCTGAGCTAACTTGGCCCTTTGCTGTGTATGTTTGCACCCGACTACGAGCTCGTAAGATCGTTTCATATAGCTAGCTCTTTACTTTTTTTAATAATTAGACTATATATGTGCCCGTGCGTTGCATGGTTGCGGCTAATTTTTTTGCCACAAATAAGACAAATCAACGCACTTCTTGAAATGCACGCGCAACAAGTTTTGTTTTTTTTTTCCCAACTCTGTTCAGATTTGGCTTTCATTCAGTATGCATATGTTTACTTTTATCTCTGTACATCCATCCAACAATTCATATTCGTGCAATTCTGTTCCTACTCTAGTCTAGGAAATTGAAACTGCATGGAGGCACCGTAGGTCCGTATCTTGAGCTTCCAGGCCTCCGGCCCCGTCCGGCGTTGTGCCTCCGGGTCGCTGATACGAAGACCTGTCCGCCTTGCTTGCCACCGATCGCACCTGTTCCTGCACCTTGCGCTGGTGCAGCTTTGGCGAGGCGAAGGCGGGACGTGGACGAGCACACGCTCTCTGCGCCGGCGTCGATCGCTTGCACGGCCTAAGCACTTCGTCTATACTCTCCCTTCACTGTTGGGCCGGACTTCAAAACAAGGCTTATGATCCACACGATTGGGCTGGCCCAACACACGAAGCCTAATTTGATTATTCGACCGCTGGATGTGGTTGAGTCCGGAGCGGAGTACGTCGCTAGTTAAGTTTTGGAGATTATTAAGCAGTTTTGGTTGAGGCGTGGTTTTTGAAAAAACTACTGTGAGCTGTGGACCGTAAAAAAACAGCCGTGGAAAAACAACTGTGAGAACCGCAGAAGACCGTTGGGTTGAAAACTCTGGCTTTACAAATACTGTTGACAGTGGACCTACATGGCCCACATGTCATTCACTTCTCTCTTCCTCGTCTTCTCCAGCATGCTCCCGTTCATCCTGGATGAGGCCGCCGGCGCCGGGCACCATGCTGTGTGCGAGCTCGAGGGAGAGGCGGCACTCCAGCCTGCTGCACATGCTGCGCTGCCACCAGCCAGAGAGGGAGGGCACGGCAGAAGCGGAGCTGGCGCTCGCTCTGCAGGTTGACGGAGATGGCACGGCTGCAGATCGATAGACAATCGAACGGATGGGGCCGAGGACCATGAGCACGGATCAAAATTAGGAAGGATGAATCGGATCTTTCTCAAAGAAAAAGGAAAGAGCCAATCCGCTGCTCGTAACTGCAGAAGGTACGAGATGGCATTCCGTGGCGTGCCGGTCTCGCGCACCTGCCGGCTGTGGACCTGGTGGACTTCGCCGCTCGTGCCACCGGGACGGGAGGGCCGGCCTGGAGTTGCGTCGCGGCCAACCGGAATTGCGCCTGCTGGAGCAAGGAGCACCCGCCGCCGCCGCTGCCGCGGGTTCTCCCGTCGAGCGCGGCAGCCGGCCGTGCTCGTCGCAGCTCGCCTAGGTCTCCCCGCGCGACGAGGTCGAGATCGCGTCCGCGCTCCGCGGTCGGGGCAGCGCCCGCCGCCGGGGCCGGGGTAGAGGCTATCTGTCGCTGGAGACCTGGATGGGCGCTAGCTCGAGACTGAGGAAGACGAGTCGGTCGGGAAACAAAACGAACCGTTTTCTTTCCGTAACAAGTGGCAGGAAGATAATTTCTTTCCTGTAAAGCAGCTGAAGGTGGGGAAGAACCTGTTTTTAGATTTGTGCTAGAGAGAAAGTTGCTTTTAGGCTAAATCAGTTACGGCTTTTCACTCCTTTCGGTTGATTTTTGACTTTTGAAGAACCAAAAGCATATTGGAAAGCCCAACTAAAAAGGCCTAAGCGGGGCAGCAGACGATAGAAGATTGGACAATGACTGTGTGCTCCGTGACGAGTTATTATTGCTTATTTCTGACCCACCCCTATACAAGGGATGAAGGGACTAGAGTTTGTTTCAAATAATTATTTTGCAATTTTTTATTTCTTTCTTTTTAATCTTTACTTTACTAGCAAATGTGCTCATACGTTGCAACGGGATCGATACATCTTAAAATAGGATTTTGTATTATTGCTAGACGTGTGAGTGAGTTGTTCAACTCAAATTAGCACGTTGCAACGGGATCCAATACGTCTTGGAATTGGACTTCGTATTATTGGTAGACGGGTGAGTGAGTTGTTCAATTCATATTAGCACAGGTCATGAGTCCGAATTACATACAGAACATGTAATAATAAAAATAATTTAGTGGTCAAAAACTTTGTTTCTTATTATGGAGTTAAAGATTCAAACAATCATGGTCTCTTATTTATTCCTTGTTTTTACACTTATCATCTTTATAGCAAAATATATTCGTGCGTTGTAACGAGAGAGAAAAATTAACGAGTACCAAGATCCATAAAAGAACTCACATTAAAAATTCATACAAAAATTTTAGCCCTTACCAAGATACGTGCCCGTGCGTTGCACGGCGATCACAAATTTTAGCCCACATAGCGTGGCTTGCAATTTAAACGAACATATTAATTAAGAAATGTACGAATTTAATTACATTAAAAACATAAAGCCTGTTTCATAATCTTTATCACCTATATCATATAGATCCAGTTTATAGAAGTCTAACAAAATTGATTTTACTTTTTTTAATACTTTTGTAATTAATGATCTTTATCACCTATGACCTATATTTTATATTTCATCAGGCAATGGATCCTCTTTCTCGGTACCCATTAACTCATTGCATGATTTTCGATGATATACATGATACGCTTTGCTGATTTTTAAAAAAAAAAATCTGATTAGCAATTGAAATTGAACCCAATGGAAAAAGGTATTACCCTGGGATTAGACCGGGTAATGGTGAAAGTCCAAATCCAAACTAAAGAAATGTAAGGCAGGAGAGTCCTCGTGTATTATGTATTCCTGTGAAGTATGTTTATTTTTCCCCATAGTACTTGATGTTATTGGTGTAAAGTGTACTGGTGACGTTTCTATTTCACAAAGTCGATCTGGACTCTAGGGGTGTTTTTTTCTGTGCATGTTTGCATGTGGTCATGCAGGGGTTGGAATATGCCCGCATGTTGCAACGGAAGAATAAAGTACTAAAAAGTAGGGGTTATGCACCAGGGCTTCCTTGGATAGGAACCGGACATCGAAAAGTTAGTGAAGGCTTCAGAAACACTGATGACGAGGACATCCTCCTCGTTCTTCTCGGCCACCTCCACGTATTCCGGGTCTGTCTTTGGCACGTTCTTGGTCATCGCCGAACCTATATTCATGCAATATATGCAAGGATGATTTAACACACCTATAGACAAAAGCACAACCCAATAAGATTCATAACATCTATGGATAGATCACATTTTTATGAAGCTAACAAAACTAGTTTGGCATTTTTCTGATTTTTCTTTGATTTTTAGTGAATTTTGCAAGATATTTGTTTTTTATAGAAAAAAGGAGAAAAACGAAAGAAAAGGAAAAAGTCTTGCATGGGCTTGGTCTAGCCCACAACAAAGCCGGCCCAACTGCAAGGATTCAACCCAGGTTAAACAAAAAGAAGCCCACCAGGAGGCCCGCTTGGATCTAGACATTTTGCATCAGGAACCCCGATCTATTTCAAAAACTATTAAGACCCTCCCATCTTTTCTTTCTCTCTCGTATCTTTATATAAAAACCTCGTATTCCTTTCTATTCTCTTACCCACTCCTAATCTAATCCCTGTTCACAACGTTAAATTAAGGAACGGACACAGGCGAGCGAGCGATACCGTTTTTTTTTTCCGTGGGGTGGGGCAGAGGCGGGGAGCAGACGATAGCCTTAGGAATATTTTAGGTAGTATATAGAAAAAAATTAACGAGTACCAAGATCCATAAAGAACTCATATTAAAAATTCATACAAAATTTTTAGCCCTTACCAAGATACGTGGTAACATCATAAAAAACCACGCAAGTCGAGAAGCATTGTTTCTAAACGATTTGTAGTTGTTACTAAGCGGATGCAAGCCGTTTCTTATGAAGCAAGCACACTTTTGTTTCAACCTAGATTTTTTTTTCTTTTAACCTAGGGCATTTTGTCCTAATATTGCTCTATAAGGCTGTAAACAATGGATATTGTTCCACTCAATAAAATATTTTAGCTTTAGAAAAATATCCTCTAAGAAAATATCATCCAAATGTATCCACACAGGGGGTCTTGTTTTAAAGATTTTATCATAAGATAGGAAACACAATGGTGCAATTGTAATTTCATTTTAGATTGTTTAGAAACTAACATTTTATATCTCAACTTTTTTGTATTTTTAAAAGATTAGAGACATTTTTATGGTTTAAAAACCTTATTAAGTATTTACCAGATTTTGTTAACTAAAAAGGACAAAATCACCTTCAAAACAACTCCAAACCGAGGTAATGAGTTAGTTTCAACGGTTTAAAAAATTCATAGGATAAGATGTCCGGTTTTGGAGTTCAAGGAGTAAAAACAGACAACGCCGATAATTAAGGGAACTAGAATGAACTTTTTTCTCTCTATTTCCTAATGAAGAAGACCCAACGGAAATGGGCGAAATAGAGGAGAAATCCCCATACATTTTTTATGGAGAAATTCCCACATATTTTTTATCATCTAGTCACTTTTTTAGACTCATACGTCTTTGCACCTTCTCTCTCTCCTCAGTTTCGTAATCTATTGGTATTGGGTCCAAATCTCCGCTCGCTGGCCTTGTAGCTTCTGTGCGTCCAACTAGAGTCACCGTCGCCTTGTTCTGCTGATCCAAACGTTGCCTAATTCTACTTCTCCATTCTCTTAGTACTTTCCAAGTTTCCATTGAACCTTAAATTCACGCAAATTCAGAGTTTCTGCAACTTGGCGTGCTCCTCATTTGTATCAATCTCACGAAATATAGTGATTCCCCGGTCATCTTCTGGAGGCTGATAATGTGATATCACCATTTCCATGGTGAACTTAGGAACGCACTGGACTTCGCAGCATAAAAGAAAAAAATAGAACTATAGGGGTAAGCATCAATCAATTGTTCTTTTTTCCATGACTAGTATATTGCCCGTGCTAACGCTATGGTGGCATCTAGAAAAAATGGCATTGGTGTTCTAGCTATCAATATTTTATGTGTGTTTTTAATCACTGCTTTAGATCAGGACTACTTAAGGAAAAAAAAGAAACCTGAAACTACAATTGATGAAAATTTAATAATAAGAAAAAATAACTTAGTGATGAAAGGATCACCATAATACTTGGCAGAGCCTCATCTACACCACATAAATTTGCTTCAGACTGACCACCTAAAATCAGAATCATTTATTTAATTAAGTAATTAAAATAATTGCAAGGTACATAAAAAAGCACTAAAAAGATCACTTATACCTTTTAAATCCATTTACAAACAGTTCCAAAATCTGAAATCCACTTAAAAATTAATGCCGCCAACTCACCCCGGTATTAACACCTGAGTCCAAAACAATTAGCAAACAGTTAGTAGTAACTAGAATTTTTTGCTGGCAAGATCATGGATTCAATGAATAAGTCAGAACATGAGTAATCCCTATCTGATCATGTGGTTCATATGTGTCTACTTCTCAACAAGCTTGTGATCCTAGTATTCAGAAGTTCATATATGCATCTACAGGTATCCAAATATTCAGTTTAATAGTAAGGCAAATATTCAGGTTGTACCCTTTCTCTGCTATGCCAAATATTTGAATCAAGCATGGGAGATAATGGGACTTGGAATTGCTGTCAGACTCAACTGTATGTGTAGTAACAGAATTAAGGAACTGAAGTCCACCAGCAGAAGGCGTGCAATGATGCATTCAAAGCTCGCAGATTCTTGTCACCTACAGTACAAAGTCTCCAACCATGCATCGTCAGTTGCCAAATTCCATTTCAGCGGAAGCATTTTCATAGCACGGCCACAGTCCGTAATTACAGACAACTAATAATTGTTAAATTCTACAAGTTTGATTCTTCTGAAAAAAAAAATCAATGCATTGGCCTGTACATGTCGATGCCTGCCTGCTCATGGCATTTTCAAGTGCGTATATATCTGATAATCCAGATGCTTTTGCAGGCCAGCAACTCAAACTGAATCCAATGAATAATCATAAGATCGGCATTGCACTGACACAATTCAGATACGAGTTTCGGTTAATAATTAAACTGGCCTAATTAATCAGGAACCATTTTGAATTCAGACCAAACATAATCAGAAGTCTAGACTATTGCACATTTGTTTGAATCAGTAATAGACTATTGCAGCTAAATTGTAGGCTCTGTTCCCTGCTTCTGCGATGAAGGCAAGGAGGAGAGGATGGACAGTCTGTGGGAGGAACCGAACGACGATCATCTCTGCGCGGATCTCTGTTGAGTTGGCGACGTTTTCGAACCCGGGCAGGAAGGCAACATCCGTGTCGTCTGGGTAACTGACGAAACGGAGGACGTCGTCTCCGTAGAGCTCGAAGGCCGGGAGCGCACCGCGTCGATGCTGGCGTGGAACGCCTCGGTGGCGGATTCCGCGTCCTCCACGGGCGCGAAGGCGTTGCCCCGCCTCGTCCTCGGCGGGAGTGCCGCAACAGCAGCCATTGCCACCGACGACCAGAGCTAGGATTTCGAGCCCGCTCGTGGGGGCCGCGCTGTGCGCCCTCGACGTCGTCTTCGCGTCGCCGCTCGCCTGCCCTCGCGAGCGCGACGGGGACGGAGCACCGGCACCGATGCGCAACCGCCCCGCGCTGTCGCGTCACCGTTCCACGGTCACTGGAGTCGTGTTTTTTTCCGGAAAGAGAGAGAGAGAAGCAGGGATCGAACCGTGGCTGCCGAATGGGGGCGTGGGGTGCTGAGCGCCCGCGTGGAGTGCAGACACGTTAAACACGTGTCGTCGGATTTGATGAGTAATGAGAGAGAATAATTAAGAGATAATCTAGTGTATCTGTTTTAATGGTGTTATATTTTTTTGGGTGTATTCATAGGTGTGGATGTAGCATAGATCATAACTGTGGAGCAGTCATTTATTGTGTGGCTGTAGATTTATTCTAACTGGTGTATTATAGGGTAGGGTAGATGGATACATAGGCACTTGTAGGTAAGTAGAAGAAGTTTTAGACCCTGTTTGGCAGAGCTCCCAGAGCTGATTCTCTAATGAATTCAGTAGAAGCTCTGCCAAACGGTTTTTCATACAGAAGTGATTCGCTGTTGATTTTGTGAAGTGATTCTCTGAAATGAAGTAAGAGGCTGGTAGCTGAAAAAAGTATCTTCTTCTGATTCTGTGAAGTGATTCTCCATCGTGATTTTGAGAGTTTATGCTAAAGAATCAAAGAAAAATATTTTCAGCTATAGAATCACTTCTCTTAGAGAATCAACTTCCATAAAGAATTAGAATCAGATTGAACTCTACCAAACAGACTCTTACACTATGCATCATGTCAAAGGCATGCCTTGAACGCTTACAATTTCTACCCGGATAGTCTAAAATCTTGAAGTTTTTTTTTGTGAAACCTACCAAAAATGCCACTCGCCAAACCTATGCCTTGCAAACAAATGCCAAACAAACTGCCTATTTGTACTTACCAAGAAAGAACCAACAAACATGTCCTTTCATATTCTTGAAAACCAACAAAACTTAATTTATTTTTCACTAATAAAGTAAGAAATTACATTATGATTAGTCTAGTTTAATTACATGGGTTGTAATATTCCACCCAGTCACCACAGTGTCTAGAACCGCCTAAGCATCCTACTAACCTTAGCACCCATGCTCTTTTCACACATCAAGTCCAGCTTGACTCCCAACATTAGGGCGTGTTTCATATCGGCCCATAGGGCCTGGCTGCGGCCCCAGCTGCTACCACGCGTGTTTGATATGCTTTGGCCCCCTCCTAGCCCAGCTGCGCCCGTACAAATCTCTCTCTCTCTCTCTCTCTCTCTCTCTCTCTCTCTCTCTCTCTCTCTCTCTCTCCTGCACACGGGAAACCAAATTAGGTTTTGTTTCTCCCGGGCTCAGCTCTCTCCGTCTCCTCTTGGGCGATTTTCGACGGCGGCTGCTGGCTCGCGCTGTGTGCGCTCCCTCCCTCCCCCGCGGTGCCGTCTTTATAAGCTGCTCCTTCCCCCGCGATGTCGTGTTCTCTCCTCCCTTTGCCGTCCTCCTCCCCCTCGTTCTCCACCACAATCCCGTTGAGTGATCGACGGATTTGGCGAGGTGGTGGCCGTCGTCGCGGTGGTGGCCTACGTCCCTGGACTTCGTCTCTGTTCCCCCGCTTCGGATCAGCTTCACCGCGTCGACGCTCCATCTCCTGCCGGGCTCCGTGGAGGCGGTCGTCTTCCTCCTTTGTCTTCTTCGTCTCCGGTGCTGCAACTGGTGTTGGAGGTGGTGGATCTGCTTCCTCTCCTTACAAATCTGCTACCTCTTCACCGGTGACTCTTCTTCTTCTCCGTCTTGCACACCTCCAAGTCTCCGACGAGCACCCCGAGGTGAAATTGACCCCATTCCCTCACTCTGGTCATGTTAGGGTTTTGTTTGTCCCTAGGGTTTCGATGCTCATGTGGAAATGATGAATGTCATGGTTATTTTCATTATGTTTTTGCATTTCTTGAGTTGAGGTCGATGATGTTGTTGTTTCTGTTAAGGCTGGTTCTTTGGAACAGATCGATGCGTATGCTCATGTGTTTAGTTTGTTTTATGTACTGTTACGGTCGATGATGAATATGTCCAACTCATTGGAGGCGTTTTTCCTATGCAGTCGTGCTACTTTTTGTTGTGGACTGCTTACTCATGCATGTTCAGGCTAGCCAGGGTGTACTAGAACTGAGTTTTGTCTTTGAATGTTGAATACATGTAGATGGATCCCCCTGCGCGCCATCAGTTGATGGCCAAACAAGCGGCAGCCATGGTTGTGGTGATGCTTTCTTTTTTTATCACTAGGCTTAGAAGGATTAGGCCACTTGCTTGTCACTAATATGTACTTCATATTATTGTAAGTCTGTGTTTGGGCACCATTTGTGTTAACAAAGCTCTGTTGGTTCATTTGCAAATGACTTGTTCCTTGTGATGTATTCCTTGTTGGTTCCTGGGACATGCCGAGCCAGGCCGGTATTAAACAAAATCTCCAACTAGTAGTTGGAGTTAGTTGGTCATGGGCCTGGCTACCTGGTTCAAATCAAACACAGGACCGGTTGGGCCTGCCTGTTCTAGTGCAACATATCAAACACGCGGACTTGTGCTCTCTGGGCCAGGTCGTGGCTGGCCTGGGGCTGACTGAGGGCTAACCAGGACATGGCAACGAAATCAAACACGCCCTTAATATCTCATCCCCTTCACGTAAAATGCAATAATTGGTCCCAACTAAGGCCAAAAAAGGTGGGCCCTTTATCCTCCAAGGATCCTATCCCTACCCTTCTCTCAATGACATCGTGTGATTATAAAACATGCCAAACAAGGACTAATAGTCTCATTTGTCCCGCTTTCTCCCTCTGCTCCGTCTCTCAGATCTAAAACTACCTGGTGATTTTCCTTCAATCCTCCATGGATTCCACTCCGCCTTCGTTGGCTATTACCCGCATCTGCTCGTTACCGGTGCGGAGCCAGCTAACCACGGAGATGCCCATGGAGGGGGCGCAAATGTTGCCACGGACACTCTCTCTGTTAGCTGGGTCAACACCATCATACACTGCAGGGAAAATCTTTTTGGATTTCACTTATCGCCGTCTTGGTCTCATTCGCGCCGTCACCAAAGGTAATTTATCACTAGTAAATAGCTAGCCTCATTGTGCCATCTGAAGCCCATGGATCCAATGAAATAGTTATATCTAGGTAGCTTGTTCAATTCCGAGAGGGGGATTCATTTAAGATCTCAACTACTATGAAAATTCACTGATTAGAAGCAGAAGTTAACACCTTACTATGTGTATGATAGCGCCAATATAATCATTCTGGTTTGACAATTGGAATGCTTTCCCTTTGAATAATTTTTTCCTAGATGATATATATGGAAATTAAATAGTGAAATAAAAAACAAGAACCTCATGTTATTTCATTCATTCCTGGACGATAAACTTTTTTTTTGCAAATTGGTAGTATATGATCTTTCTTTGATGGCATTAATTTTTTTTGTCGGTACTTAAAGGTGCCCTTTATGAAGAGGAAGACAAATAAGAACATGCATGGAGTAGCAATATTTTTTTGGTTGCTTGGATGGATTATGAGTTTATACTTTTTCATAAAACTTAAAGACATAACAATGAAAATCACTTAGATATGTTGGTTCATCTATGAATATATTGCAAATATAACATTTTATTATAACACTCTATATTCTAATGTTGATCACCCCGAAAAATCTTAGCTCTTCCACTGTACAACCATACGGAAGAGGAGGGATTCTTTGGTAAGCATGACCAAGGTGAGTCATGGTGGGATCAATATGAGTCAATGTTTGATCTTTTATTGACTCACAATGTGAATAGAAACAATTTTGTGTTTGGTGTAGGTGCACACTCACTGTACCTATATGGCAACATTGATGGGAGTTGGGAGTTGCGACAATCGAAGCCTAATGAACTACTTGGTATCAACCTAGTGAGAGGGAATTTGAAACACATCAAATGGCTGGAACACATTGCCATGCATGGTGACGCATGGCTCATCAACATCTCCTTCTCCCTCAGCCAACATATGAAAGCTAAAGAACGGTACTTGTGTGTGCTTCATTGTTTTTCCTTCTAAGGATTTTAAAGTTTTTTGTTTTTACCCATGTGGTGTTCATTAGTTATATAGTGATTAACTATGCATACATGAAAATAGTTTAGCCTTGTCACTTATATTTTATTATTATGAAGGAAATTCAATCTTCGTTTGATTTTATTTCAAACTCAAGTAATCAACTATGTGATAGTTGTTTACCACAACCTTTCTGTCTTCTTTTTACATATAATTGATGCTTTTGGCATGATTTAAAATATGTTTGTTACTAGAAAAGTTACAATATAGGTGAAGTTTGGCACATTAAGCTTTTCCATATTTTACACATCAGATCAATTTCATATACCACAACTCCACAAGTGAAACAAAGCATCAAAAAGTAATTAGATACTTGGATTGGTATATTTCTCTTAACAAACAATTCTTGCTTGTTCACTACATGTGCACATTATTTAATTGTAACACTGTAGTTTTGAAATGTAGCACTTAGGGATAATCTTAACAACTCTGAGCCATTGTAAGTGTAATATTTAAAAGTATATATATGCTAAAACAAACATATAAATTAATAGTGGTGAGCTAAACTAAGAAAAACATATTAAAGTTAGATTTCAACTTGTCTTCCTTATGGGTAAAGTTTTTGTTATCATTTCAGTTCTACTAGTGTCTAGCTGACTAGAGCTGTTCTAGTCAGCTGGACACTAGTCCAGTTTTGTGCTTGGTTATTTATAATTTACCTATGACATAAATTATTTGCATTTTAGCATAAAAAACATTCTCATCCTCAACTTTGCACCATCAATACAAACTATCCTTTTGGTTCTCCAATGTGTATAAGAGTTTAAACTGTGCTATTTTATCGAAAAGATTAAAAAAATATAGTTGGATGCAGTGCTAGTTGTATTGTGTGAAAATATTTGCAATGGAGGTCTGACTTTTAAATTAGGACATAAGCCATTTATTTATACTATATTAAACCAAAGGAATGAAGCCTACCAGGATATGGCAAGTACTTTTCCATGTTCATCATTTTAGATCATGTACATTACATTCCATTGTTGCCTCTCCTAGCCAACGGCGACATGTTTGTGAGAAGATCTAATACACATCAGTGGTGCATAATGATAATTTCATCAATACTTGATTGGACAAAGCATTTGTCTTGTGAAAATACATGTATCTTCTCTTGATCATCGTATTTTATTTAGTTCGAAAACCAAACCATCATACTGAAATGCAAATTGGTTAAGTTTAACCGATTATTTTGTTGCTTCAAAACACTATTGTTATTTATTCCTTTATTTTGCATCATACCCGAGGTTGTTTGCTCATATTGGATTAGTGGCCTTTTTCTGATGATTTTGTATTAAATTTATTGGTATACTTTCTGAAGAATGTATAATTGCCAAAGTTTCTCCATGCTTTTGATGTCAAATTTGTTTCAAAATTTCAGCTAAAGCATTATTTATAAGTTAATGATTTGCTCATTGTCTGGCACGGAGGACTTGTTCAATATGATTAATAGCTTTCCAACAGTACACGAAACATTCCTTGCCAGTGAAACCTATCACCGCATATGCCATCTAGAGGAAAAGGTACATTGCTACTGATCAAAGTACGAAATATGCAAACCGATCCATTTGTACTAAAATTAACATAGATTGTTTTCTCATTTCATTAGGCAAAGCTATGTGGGCCAGTTATTGAAAAGAACTACGAGCCTGAGAGTGAGGATGAAGCTCTAAGTGATCCGGTCGTATGTTCAGTTTGTGATGGCCACTACCATACAAGTGCATTCTGGATCTGTTGTGATATTTGCAACCAGTGGTACCATGGAAAATGTGTGAAGATTACAGCCAAAAAAGCAAATCGCATAAAGCACTATGAGTGCCCTGAGTGCTTCAACGATAGGATTGGACATAATTAAGATGGATACACAATCCTATCAGACCAATTCTATAGATGCCAAATGCACCCAAGGTTGTTTCCATTTGGCTAGTGGTTGTGAACTCCTTGATACTTTGTGATCCTTTATAAGAAATTTGTTGCAGTTTTTACTGTAGAGTATGAACTGATGTTAAATTGTGATCCTAGATGCTTATTTTCCTTGGCAATTATTAGTGTTTAATTGTTTGTAGGCTTTGGGTACGCTTTCTATATTTTTATTGATATATCCTGATTAGTTTCATTGGTTGCCTTGTCAATGGCGGCTGACTAGACAGTTGTGCTACTTCATTTGATTTTTAGAAGATTGTAGAGTCTATTTTATAAAGCTTGTTATGAATGTATCCACAAGAATAATGTCAGGGTGTGTAAAGATGAACTTTTTAAGCATGTCTAGTAGAGACGTTCACATAGAAACACATTCATATATATAGATGCATTTACATAATACATCTTTTAATTTTGAAATATTGCATAGTGGTGCTTTGTTTCTTGTTAAGAATGATAGATATATTATTATAGATATAGAAATATAGTGAATTAAATAACATAACATGCTAGATGTAGCATCAAGAATGATAAAGACATTTTCTACAAGACTCATTTATAGATGTGTTGGACCAATTCTCGATGATTTGCTTTTATGAATCAATATTAGTTTAGTTGTAATGAATTGCACGGGATAGATTTTGTTTACACAAAAAAAATGGAATGAGCCGCGGGAAGCACAGTATCAGCGGTACCGGCTCAAGCGTGAAGGGATCGGACTCTGCCGATTTGGAAAGCCACGGCATTGGCAGCATCAGCCTAGGCGTAATCAACTCGGATTCCGCCAGAAAGGGAATTTTGGAGTCCAATTTATGTAAATTAGATCGTTTTCTTTTTTACAAGAATTGTTTAGTCTTATTCGATCAGGACTCTACGTTGGCTCATGGTATAAAAATAAATCCCGGCTATTATAAATAGACAATCAGAGATCAATACGCAATTTTCTTTGGCTTTCACGCCATTACATTAGGAGCAGTAGTAAAGTAGATCTCGGCGATTTCTTCAGTAGGCAGGAATGTATCGATTTTGATCTCTGGTTTGCTTGTAAGTACCGTCACGACTTGTATCTAATCTAGTAAGGCTGCTTCGTTCGATCTCTTACTTGGTTTGGTATTTGTCACGATTTGTATCTAATCCAGTAAGTCTGCATCTTTTGATCTCTTGCTTGATTTGGTATTAAATCACCGGTTATCAATTTTATTACGTTTAGTGATGCTGCATCTTATGATCTCTTTCTATATTTAATAGAATCACCCGTTATCAATCTTACTATGTTTAGTAAAGTTGCACCTTATGATCTTTTACTAGATTTAGTAAAATCACCAATTTATCTGACTAGATTAAGATCCATCGGCTCTTAATCTACCGTCTTGTTGTTTACCTCGTTAATCTCTATTGGGTTACTGGTTTTAATTTATTGTCTTACTACCAACGTTGTCTCAGGCCCTGTTCGTTTCTCTTATAATCCGTACTTTTCAGCTTGTTTTTTCAGTCGGAACAGTGTTTCGTCTTGTTTTTTCAGCGAAGCGAACGGGGCCTCAATCTAATCCGATTGACAATAGATTAGATCTGGTTAGTTTCTAGATTTCTTTATATGGAAAGCAAAGGATTGTGCTTCATCAGCTTTGTAGCTGATGGCCTGTACTTCGCCCTGTTCGTTTAGGCTTATTTGGCTGATAAGCCATGGCTGAAAGTATTGTTGGCTGATTTGGTGTGAGAGAAAAATACTATTCGTTGACTGAAAAAGTACGACTTATAAGTCAAACAAGCCCAAGCAAACACGGTGATCTATCATGTTTCATATTGATAGGCTCTTTGATTTATATTGTTTATATATGAGTATGCTATATTTTAGCCGGCGAAGCTTATTTAAACTGTTTTACACCATCAATCTGCTGGATATCGGTTCCGTAGCCGATAGCCTTATTTTATCGGCTCTTTAGCCAATCATGGAACTGTCTGGATCAAAAGCTGGCATGTTCCACTTTAAATTACTGATTATCTTTTTTCTTATCAATTATAGATCAAATTGACTGGCACGCTTATGCACTGAAGTTAAACAGATCCTCCATACTTGTCCACGTGTCCTGCGTAGTGACTAGATTTCTACATCGACATATTGGTAATCCTACAAATTTTAGACTGTTTCATATAGATTTTTAAGATATAGTATTCTAAAGATTAGTCAAACTTGATTTAAAACAACATTAGTTAAACTTGACACTAATTGTGTTACAGCTAGAGGCCTCGAGCTCACCACAGTAGATGGTTATTATTGGTATCTATTTAAGGGGTGTTTGGATCTAGTACCTAAAATTTACAAGGTGTCATATGGAGGTATTGTATGGGGTGTTCGGATACTAATAAAAAAATAAATTACAAAATCTGTCAGTACTCCACGAGACGAATTAATTAAAGCACATATTGACTGTAGCACCACGTTGTCAAATCATGAACTAATTAGGCTTAAAAGATTCGTCTCGTAAATTAGTCGTAAACTATATAATTAGTTTTGTAATTAGTTTATATTTAATACTCTATACATGTGTTAAACATCTAATGGGACAACGACTGAAGTTTAGGAGGACTAAGGGGTGTTTGGTTTCTCCTCCTAAACTTTAGTCGATGTCCCATCGGATGTTTGGACACGTACATGGAGTATTAAATATAGATTAATTATAAAACTAATTGCACAGCTTGCAACTAATTTGCGAGACGAATCTTTTAAGCCTAATTAGTCCATGATTTGACAATGTAGTGCTACAGTAAATATGTGCTAATGACGGATTAATTAGTCTTAATAAATTCGTCTCGTGGAGTACCGACGGATTCTGTAATTTATTTTTTTATTAGTATCTAAACACCCCATACGACACCCTCATATAACACCTCCTAAATTTTAGTCACTGGATCCAAACAACCCCTAAGTTTCTCACCTGTGCGTTTGTTTTCGGCCGGCCGTACCATTGTTCCGTCGCATGCACGCTCCAAACCCACGCACAGCGTTCGGTGAGCCGACGCGTTGGCGACTCGACGCGCGCCCTGGCCCACTAGGTCTGCGTCGCGGCCATAGTTGGCCATGCAGCCCGAGCCGTCGGCCTGGCCCAAGGCCCGTTTTTTTTGGCCCGGCCCAAGCACGGCCCTGCCCGCGGCTAGCGTGCTCGGGCTGGCACGGCCTGGAGGAGTAGGTCATGCCTGGGCCTTACCCCAAGCACGTGGACCGACACGGCATGGCCTGCTACAGAGCCGGCGGTCCGCCCTGCCGCCTCCCCGCGCCCCGCATTGGCCGCATTCCCGCGCCCCGCATTGACCTGCCGCCTCCCCGTCCCCGCGCCCCCTCCCCGCTCGCACTCGCACCCACCCCCGATTCCCCGAACCCTAACTCCCTTCCCGGCTTCCCCTCCCCCTCCCAGCCGCCCCGCGCAGTCCCCTCCCCACGCACGCGCCCGGATCCTCCTCGGTGGCGTCCACCGCCACCTCCCGCGGGCTGCCCCTGCCTCCTCCTGCCACGCGTAGGTGCGCGGCCGCCACCTCCAGCCGGATCCGCCTCGGGGACAAGCACACCGACGGCCGCCGCCACCTCCCACGGCTGCCCTTGCGTCATCCATCTCTCCCTCCCTCCCTCAGCTCAGATCCGGCTGCCCCGTGCGGATCTCTCTCCCTCTCCCTCCCTCCCTCGGTTCAGATCCGGTGGCCTCCCTCTCTCCCTCATCCTCGGTGCACGACGGCACCCTCTCTCCCTCCCCCATCCTCCACCCCTCCTTTCCCCGTGTGGATCCCTCTCTCCCTCAGCTCAGATCCGGTGGCGGTGGCCTCCCTCTCTCCCTCATCTTTGGTGCACGGCGGGCTTCCTCCCACCCCCTCTTCATGTCCTCTCTATCGCTTGAGGGAGGGCGCCGCTTGTGCAGCTCCTTCCCCCGAGATCCGGAGCTCCGCCGCTCCCAGCCCCGGCGGCCACCTCCTCCTCGCCTCCCCGTGCGACCGCGGCGCACGCGCCGGCCTCGAGCACGCCGGCAGCTGCCCTCCTCTCCCAAGGCCCTCGCGCGGTGGCTGGCCTCAGTGGGCCTCGGGCTGGCACGGCCTGTGAAAATAACCGTGCTTCTCGAACCGGTCCGGCACGAAAATCGGCCCATAAAGCCATGCCTAGACTGAAGGCCAGGCCCGTGACCCTGTGAGACATGATCAGAGAGGCACGGCGTGCCATACTGACCCGTTGGCTATCGGGCCGTGCTGGCCGTGCCGTGCCGTGCCAGGTCGGCACGTTGGCCATCTATAGTCGCGGCATGAAAAGTGGCATCCGGACAGCCACCGGTCCCACGTGTCATTCACTCGTCATTCAAACGTTGGGAACCACGCCCGTCAGTTCCACCCACCCGCATTTCATTCCCGCTCCTGCGCAGGTTCATCTCCCTCCCCTCCCCTCCCCCCTCCCGGATCCCCCATCCTCTCCGCTGATTCTCGGCGAGAATCGGTCGATTTTATCTAGGGTTTGTGCGCAGAGAAGGAGCTCAGTGAGGAATCGAAGGCGGCACCCGGTTCATCTCCGCTAAATCGCAGGTTCGTGGCATATGCATGGCGTTTTTTCCGGCGATTTTTTCCTCTACATGTGGATTGCGATGGGTGTGCGGGGCATGTGACCTAGGATTTTGCTTCTTTTTTTTTGTTCATATGCGTGGGGGATTTGCCGCATTGGTACAGCGAGACCCCTTCGTCTGGGCTGCACGGCGAGCGTCGGGTGGTGTGGGAGGTGGATTCGGTTCAGAGGAAGGTTCAGCTAGTAGCTGGTGATCTTCGTCCAGCAGAATCAAGGTGAGTTTGCGAAAACCACCCATTATGATGCGATTTTTCCCTTTTTTGCAGTGCTTGGCACGGTAGGGTTTCAAATTTACCGGCCATCCCCATGCGATTTTTCGTGATGTCCTGTGTTCTGGTTTGATTTTTTTTCACAACTGCACCCCTATGTGATTTTTTGCTCTATGGGGGGCATTTTTTTGGGTTGGATTTGTGCAATCAGGTAGGGGGGCGGGGGTCACATTATTGTAGGTCATCACGATTTTTGTCCACATAAAACTGGTGCTGCACCTACACTGTATGGTAAGAACACGCCCAAAGCAAATTTGGAGTATGTAGGAGTTCAGGATGGCGTCACTGGTGTTGATGACTTCAGAAGTTTGGCCATCGGCGTCGTCCGAGCTTGTGCCGCTGGAGCTTGCCTGCCCGTCCGGGCTGCTAATTCTAGGCGCCAGCTGTTTGCTGCTTGCTTGTGGAATGCAGGGTATCGTGTAATAGTACTTGTACTAGTAGCCTAGTGTCCATGACTTCAGAAGTTCTAGAGTAGCGTCATGCAGGTGTTTTTCAGTGCACTACAGTGGTGTAGGCAGGATGTTGATTTTCAGAAGATTAGATGGCTTTGGGCTTCCAGTAAATGATACATAACAATAGTACCAAAATGTACATGAACTTGCCGACATATATAAAGCACAACACTGAATGGTGAGCACAGATCACTGAATACAACTGTAGGCCGCTAATTTGTGTCCATTTTTCACATAGAAATAAGTGAAAACTAATATAGCTAATTAGTATGTAGGAGAAACACAGTTATAGATTAGCACTTAGGTTTATTAGAACCATACAAAAGTTAATGGCCTGAGCAGTCCGGTGGGATTAAAATACATGAACTTATGCCTAATTTTATTGTGTTACAGTGTTAGTGTCCATCTGCTGAACACTTAAGTTGAAAAGAAAATCCATAACATATATAACCAATTGACAATCTGATATCCAATCACCTTTCTGTCCCAGGACAAATTGTGCTAAACAATGCTTTTCATAGATTGAGTTGCCTGAAATGGCAGCTCATGGATGTCAGCTTGCAGTGTACTGAAATTTTCACATACCTGTGCTCTGAATTTGCTTTGTTCAAACCTATATATTAGCCCAATCAAAATACCAGATCTGATGTAAGCATTATATTTTGCCTATATTTCTTCTTTTGTGCACGTGCCTGTTGTAGCTTGTGTGGTAGGGTACTGCTTTACTGACATTTAGTCCTTCCATATATATCTCTGGCTGAAATGGAGTCCATTTGACAAGCATTTGAGCAGCAGCAGAAGCACTGTCTTTTTACCAGTCCTGTGTCCTAACCAAAATGAATTTCGGCAACAACGGCATATTGTCCAGAACTCTAGATCAGGCAGCTCAGGGATCTCAGGGAACACTGGTGTGTACAAATGGGTATAATGTAAGGTCATTAGTTGTGGAGGCATTAAACACAAGGTGAATCTTACATTGTTCTGGTAGAGCGAAGTAATATGCTGTTGAATCCTTGCACTTTAGGACTCCAAATGAGCCAAAGTACTTTAAAGGGTGTTTCGGACATGGTTGATGATTGAGCATAACCAACCTGAAATTTGTGGGAGAATGATGCTTATAAGTTTGCATCTTCATTTTGTTCTGAACCCAACTCATTGCATCTTCATTTTGTTCTGAACCCAACTCAGTTCATTCTTGAGATAAAGATTTTAGCCGCCCTTCCTAGAGCAGAGTGTTAGGATAGAACTATTGGACTAATGCAGTTGAGGCATAGTCCTAAAGTTAGAATCAGTGCATATAACACGTTAAATGGTGTGCGGCTTGATGAAGTTTGATATGTGATAAGCTCAGCTAGGTTCCATTTGAGCCAAACAAGCATGCAAAATTCAAGAAGAAACTTCTCCAGACAGTGATTCAGCCTAGGATTAATAAGCTGGATTTAGATGCAATCTAATATCCAACAATCTGAATAATTCTTGCACGAAAGAGCGTGTGAAAAATCCTGTCTACATTAGACTTTTTAATATTGTGATGTGAATCACACAATGTGGATTTACATACCAGTCAGGGGTGCAGTGAAGGGATGTTGTAGAGCTAAGTCACATTTAGGAAAGCCACCCTCGGGCCTCGTCGAGCACCATGCATCATGTACTGGCAAATAAAGGCTGAAGCAACCCAGGTGATTTGCAGTGTTCCTGCTTGGCGTGCTGACATGCATGTGGTTGTGGCTGGGGATATATGCTGATATTTTTGATTTATACCATTTTTTTTCTTTCTGATATTGTTTTCTATAGGAGGAATTACATGTAATTTTTCCTGGAGCTAATCTGGTTCTTATGCTATTCATTTAGAATTTATTTTTTTAATGCTCATGATTAAAGCAATCGTGCGTCTTAATGGGTATGCAAGTTTTGATTAATTTCATTAGGCAAAACAATGATTAGTTTTGCATTTTTCTTAGGAAAAAAAATGCACCCTGTGCCCCCTATGTCAATTTCATAGACGAGTGAGTTGCCTGAAATCGCAGCCTATGGATGGCAGCGTGCAGTGTACTAAAATTTCACATACCCAGTTCATACTCTGAATTGACCTACTTTTGCTTTGTTTCACTTGCAGGCTTCTAGGTGACGGCCGTGTTGCACCTCACCCTGACCACCTTCTGCCTTGCAGCCCCCTATCACGTACCTTGCAGTGGTGCCCCTGTCCCATGGCATGAGCGCAGCCCTGTCGTTGACCGCAGATTTCAGGTGAGTTTTCAACTGAACCTACTTTTGTTGTTATGCATGCATTGATTTTCTGTATTACGGATGTGTTCATGGGTATGGGAGGGGGGCCTGGGGAGACGGTTGATTTGTTGCCGGCAACGAGGCATTCTAAGGAAGAGCAGGCCTGGTGTAGTGGTGAGAGCTGTCTCACTGAGTCACCAGGTCGCAGGTTCGAAGCACCTCTCCGCAGATTTTGCGGTGGGAAGGCTTGCCTCGGTTTTTCCCTTCCCTAGACTCATGTGGGAGCCTCCGGCACTGGGTCTGCCCTTTTTTTTTAACGAGGCATTCTAAGCCCATTTAAGATTAGTATACTGGTTTTTGACACCGCAGTTTGTATTCATTTATGCTCCAGCTTTCACTTGTGCTCGCATCCCAGATGTAAATTAGAATCTTGCTGCTCCGTAGTGCAGCGTTTTATATTACAGTGTAAATTAGAATCTTGGAGGCTTATGATTTTTTTCCTGACATTTTTTTTCTAGCTACAGACTATGGCTTGTGCAAAGAGGGGCACTGGTGGTGGTTCTACTAGCGGGGCACATGGGGTATGCTGAAGCATCATTTTCTTCTTTTTGTCTTTTTTTATTAAATGTATGCAATCTTATATCATTACTGGGGGATTTGCATGACATAGATAATTTTATTTCACACAGGGCATCTGCAGCAATGTCTTCAAAGGTATGCAAATAATAGATATAACTTATACTAGTGTGGAGTAGAAAATTATAGATCTGCTTGTTTCTTTTTTTTGTGATCATTGTGTAATGCTGCATTATTCATAGGGCGAAAATACTAATATGCAGTATGCAGCTTATACTAGTATGGAGTAGAAAATTATAACTTTGCATATTAGGCAACAATATTGTTTTCATTTAGGCAATAATAGGGTCTTGCATTAGGCAATAATACAGTTTACATTCAGGCAAATAATAGATGTATGCATTTGGAAACAACAGTCTCTCCCTCATATGGATCAACCTCTCCCTTTTTTCCCTATCCTTTCTCTGCCACCACCCCCGTCAGTTCTGGGATGGCGATAAGAGGACCTTTGTCGTCCCATCGAGCAATGGATCCATCACCACCCACCCTATAGCCAAGCACCAGGCACAATAGTTAGGCAACAGTTAGGAGATGAGATTTATGGGTTTTTGGCTGTTAGCTGGCTTTATTTTCACTCAGGTCTCTTGTGTCTATCAACACACCCCTCACTCACACACACAGAGGCTGGAGGTTGAAGAAGAGAAGATCAGAGCACACACGCATATCAACACACGTGAAATGGAGCTGCTGAACTGAGGCTGCATCTATGCCTCTACTGGTTTTTAGTCAAAAGTACATGACAGAGAAAGGAGTGGGGCATTTTTGTTCAGTCAATAATCATTGTTGCTGACAGATCATTTTTTTTCATTTTTTTCTGCTGTTATGCTGATCATTTTTGTTCAGTCATTAAACTAGTCTGCCTTTTGTACAAAACTAGTTTTTTGACGTCATCACCTTGCCTCTGTTTTGATCTGTATTTTTGCTCGTTACACAAGCAGGTGCGATGCATAAAAATAAAAACAAAGCTGTGTATTTTTTTTTTGCAAATAAACCAGGGGTAGGGGTGGGGGTGGGAGTGGGGCTGTGGGTTGCAAATGAACATAAACACTACTTGCTTATATGTATGATGCTATTAGCTTCTGTTCTTTGCAAGTTTCAGTACTCTGTCGGTAGCTATCTCTGAAGGTTGTTCCATTCTATTCTGCTCCATTGAATACGTTGATTCTCCATTTGTTTGGGGTTCTCCCACATTTGGAGCAGTGCCTAGTTACTGTTGATCGTTGATTCTTGAATTGGCTGTGGTGTTAGGTTTTATGGAGGTGTCAATAATCAGCATTTAGAGCAATTAAATGTACATTTGCATTGATTAGTTACTGAACTTCATTGGGAATAAGCAACTAAATGTACTCTGACCAGGCAATATTCTGGCAAGATCAAGGCAAAATAATTCAAAACATTAGGCAATTTTTACATCATTCTTTCTCTAATCTCTATTTGTTTTTCTGTTCTTAGATTGCAGGTTAGTTTCGCTTCTCTGCTTTTCCCACAAATTTCCAGTGGGTTAGTTCCCCTTCTCTGCTTTTCCCACATATTTCCTGTGGTTATGTATCCATCTGGGCAACAAACTTAGAACTAAACATATTTTTGTTAAAATTATCAGCCTATCTTCCCTGGTGAAAGTGTTGTGGAACAGCTTGTTGAGATAATAAAAGTACTTGGTTGTTCTGCGGACTGCACTATATTAGTTCTAAAGAAATGTGCTAACTAGTGTTTTTATATTTCCATGTATTGAATGGATTTGCTTTTTGCTGACAGGTTCTTGGTACTCCAACACGTGAGGAAATCCAATGTATGAATCGAAACTACACCGTGTTTGGATTTCCTCAGATCAAAGCTCACCCATGGCCAAAGGTATGTGAAATTTTTTTATCACATTACACTCGCCCTGCATTGCATTGCATTGCATTTTTGTCTGAACTTGGGCATTCTGCTGCCTGTCCCTGCAGTTCACGATCATCCTGCTGCTGAGGCACATGGTGACGGTCGGAGCGGCCAACCAGTTCGCCTTCAGCCTCCTCACAGTGAGTAGTCCTACTCTACCCGAATGAATGAATGAATGCTTCTTCGATTCGCACGGCGATCTGAATTTCTTCCTTGGCTTGGAATGGAAGGTATACTTGCTGCGGGCGAGCAGGATCTTGCGTCCGTTTCTACGTTGTCATGAGGCTATACTTGCTGCGGGCGAGCAGGATCTTGCTTCCGTTTCTACGTTGTCATGAGGCTCATCTCCGTGATCCAGCAGGGACAGAGGCAGTACCACCTGCAGCTGCTCCAGGTTAGTCCATCTATTGCCACTTCTGAATAAATATCTTTGGGGGGCTGTTCTGCTGGAGGAAAGCAGTGGTCAGGAACAGCAGCAGCAGCAGCAGCAGCATGTCATCCTAGTTCGTTGAGGAACAAGGCATTTCATCTAGTGAACATGAGTGCATATATTTCTACAGCTTTCTGATCAATCACGTTACTGATGGTACTTGTTTACGATTAGGCAATAATCTTCTATGAATTAGGCAATAATATGATTTAATATAGGCAATAATCTTCTATGAATTAGGCAAAGTGCTATCTCAATTAGGCAAAACCACTATCTTAATCAAGTAAAAGACATGCTACTACTTAGGCAAAGTACTCTTGAACATGCATGTTTATCCACACTAATAATTTTAGGATTGACTTGATATGAATCCTAATATTGTTTAATCAGTACCTACAAACTTGAATCTAGTATTTATTTAACGGCATTTTTGGTATTTGCCATGATCACGTTACTGATGGTCCTTCTTTTTCCTTTTTTTCTACTGTTATGATGATCCTTTCTGTTCAACCATGGAACTAGTCTGCCTTTTGTACAAAAACTAGTTATTGACATCATCACTCTGCCTCTGTTTGATACTGTTTATTTTTGCAAATAAACCGGGGGTTGGGGATTGGGGTTGGGGCTGTGGGTTGCAAATGAACACAGACACTATACTTGCTTTTTCAGAATACAAAAATTGCCTAATTAGGAAGACATTGTTGCCTAATGAATGACACTTAAATTGGCTAGAAAAATTGAATCCACTACAGCATTAGTAGCAGTAACCTGCTCATCACCAATAGAAGCTCCGGGAACATAAGCATCCTTTTTTTATCTCTAAAAAAAAAGGGCAGACCCAGTGCCGGAGGCTCCCACATGAGTGGGGTCTGGGGAAGGGAAAAACCGAGGTAAGCCTCCCCCCCCCCAAAAAATATGCGGAGAGGCTGCTTCGAACCTACGACCTGTTGACTCAGTGAGACAACTCTCACCACTGCACCAGGCCTGCTCTTCCTTTTTTTTATCTCCTACCAGCAAGAAATTTTTGACACATGTTACCTTTTTTTAACATGCAGAAATGCAGACCATGTACAGAGAAGCAAGATGCGAGCCAATATAGAGAATATGTGCAAATGTGTGGGATTAGCGCCCTGTTCGTTTGGTTTATAAGCCGTACTTTTTCAGCCAACGAATAATATTTTTCTCACAACAAATCAGCCAACGGTACTTTCAACCGTGGCTTGTCAGCCAAGTGAACAGAGCATAGATGTATAGTGTTCTGCTTTTTGAAAAACTGCAGATGCAAATGTATTCTTTTTCTGAGATGTGTTCTTTTTTTCTAAAAACATTGCCTTTTTGTGAACGTGTATATGTAGTACCTAAAAGCATACGTCTGGGTCTTAATTGCCTTTTTTTGTGAACATATAGATGTGCAAATGTGTGGTCGGTTTCTGGTCCTGGCCACATTCCACAAAAAAAAAACGCTAATTAGTATCCTTGCCCAAAAAGAAATAGAATGATTGCACTTTTACCAAAAAAAAAAAAGGAAAGGCTGTGCAAAATTACGGCCGGACGTAATTTAGCCGCTTCCAAAAAAGAGAACCACTAACATATCTAGTCGGGCAAAATGAACCCTCTACCCTAGTTGCTTGAATAAGGTATTCCAAGAGCCGTTTGCTTAAATTTTTTAGAAATAAGGATACATTTAAAGCAAATACTTTTATGCCAACAAAAAATGGTTACACTTGCACGGTACCACATAGACAATTTTTAGAGAGAATCAAAATTGATTTTAGAGGCAGTTTTTGAAACAGCTACCACGCCCCCCATAAAAGTCGATTGTCAGTGGCAGATTTATTATGACTAAGTCAGTTGCCTTTATTTTTAAAAAAATTTACAACAAGCTAATAAATTGCATTAAAGAAATTAGAAGAAAAAAAATAGAGCGAGGCGCATCAGAATGGTCATAGTGTCTCAAGCCTCAAGTATTATTTTTTATATATTTTAGCAAAAGTGTGTCCATGAGGATTCAATCTCATGACCTCTTGCCTCATGTGAGGCCCTCTTACTACCACACCATACAATCTTGTAATCTTTTTTTTTTATTACATAGTACAACACATACCCTCACATCTTGTAACCAATTTTAAGATGCTATCCTTTTGTATTATTAACTCCTACGAAACTTGTATCGAATATTTTGGCCCCAAAGGTCTCAAAAAAGTTTCAGCTATAAATGGCATGTTCTCTTCTCTAATAATCCGTCTTTTTCAGCTTGTTTTTTCAGCCGGGACAATGTTTTTCTCTCACAACAAATCAGCCGGAACAGTGTTTCGACTTTTTTTTCAGCGAAGCGAATGGGGCCTTTGGCTATAGGACATGTCTTCCGAAGTTGTTAAAAATTTGAAAATTAAATTTCAATTTTGTGAACTTATTAAAATGTAAATTTAGGCTCTAAACTATCTTAAATAAAAAAAGTCATCAACTTCAAAGTTTTAGCATCAAGCTCTACAATTTTGAGATAAAGTTTATCTTCAGTCAACTTCATTTGAAGAAAGTATATGAATTTATTTGTTCGGCACATAATTTTAGGGGCGGTTGACTTTATAGAAATACAACCATCGTGGGAAAAATATAGTAACCATCTTGGGAAAAATAGAAAACGATTGTAAAAAACCATTTATATAATGTAGTAGTGATAACACTCTCGTGGGTTTTTACCGATCAATTAGCAATCTCATCGGTCACAAAATTTTGCCCGGCCAGACTCTAGAGGCAGCGGAGGGATGAGACTGTTGACACGTGGCATGGGGGGGGGTGAAATGGAGTCACAGTAGAGGCGATGGTCATTGGATGACGATGAACCAACGGCCTTTTTGACTACTCGGATCATGGATGGAAGAGAAGTGGAGTCATACCTAGAGATAATATAATTGTATGCCTTTATGAAGTTTGTACATGAGAAGTTCAAAGTTTGGATTAGAAAGAAATAAGAAAATGAGACTTACATAACAGTTTGAATTAGACCGGAAAGGGGTGAACAGTAACCATGCTTTTATATGACATTTTTCTCTATGAAATAGCAGTGTGGTAATGTATTTTGCTTGAAGTCGTCGCAGTCATCTAACCCTAGATTCACCCCTGGACTGGAATGAAAAATATTCACGCATATAAAATCTATAATCCCCCAGCTGCAACCTCAACCCTAAACCTCCTCCCCCCCCCCCCGTCCCACCTCTTTACCACCACGTGCTCTCTACCTTTCTCTTTCTCATTATGATGAGTAGGCGACTCCTACCCTTGCACTTTGCTTGTGCTCTTTCCCTCTCATGGTGATAGTCGTTATATAGCTCCACACCATGTGACCAGGTTTTCTTTAGGCTCTTCGCCAGCGGTGAGTACCACCACGTACACCCACCTATTCGTCTTATCTTCCCTAAAGGCTTGTTTGTTTACCCTCCAATTTGAGGTGGTTCAAGGGGATTAAGGGGAATATTGACTTGCAAGGGCTTGAATCCCCCTCAATTCCCTCGAATTGGAGACTAATCGAATAAATCTGACATGGGATACAAACACCCAAATCTTAGGATGGCAATCGTTCACTTTCGGACCTGAGACCAAAGGGTTTTTAGATTTGCTGGAAATGAGGCAGGTGCAATTCTAAACCCCATGGGGCTATAGCCTCGGGGCTTTGAATCGGATTAGGGTGAAGACAAGTTTTGATTTTGAAAAAGTCCCTTCTACCTCTTTAAACTATTGTCATAGTCTGATTTTCTTCCTCAAACTCCAAAAGTAGACATTTTACCCCCCACCTGGAACTCTTAAACCGTTCAAATTACATCATTGCCTTGGGTTGAAGTGGTTTCGAAGGTTGTTTTATTTGGATTTTGTGTACCCCAACCTATCTTCATATTATTATTTTTTAAAAAATTGAAAGCGTAAAGACATTTTTTGTTGTTTAAAAACCTTAAGTATTTACCGACTTTTTAATAACTAAAAAAGAGACAAAACTACCTTAAAACCACTCCAAAGTAGGGTAGGGAGATAATTTGAACAGTTTAGAGAATTCAATTTTTTTCAAAAATTTTGAAAGCATAAAGACATTTTCTGTTGATATAAGTCTTGGATAAGAATCTACAACGCACTAGAACGCCCTTGTTGATGATTCTTTACTGCGACAGCATCTAGGGTTCCTCGAATAATGCGATATCTCACACCGGGTAAATCCTTAACCCTTCCTCCTCTTACTAATACTACAGAATCACCGGGTAAATCCTTAACCCTTCCTCCTCTTACTAATACTACGGAATGTTCTTGTAAATTATGGCCAATACCAGGTATATAAGCAGTGATTTCAAATTCAGAGGTTAATCGTACTCTGGCAACTTTACGTAAGGCAGAGTTGGGTTTTTTTGGGTTGATAGTGGAAAAGTCGACAGATAAGTCATCCTTACTGTCCTTCTACAGAACCGTACATGAGATTTTCACCTCATACAGCTCCTCGTTCAATTCTTTCGAAGGGATCCTTTTCCTCGTTTGAGAGTCTCCGCCCTTCTTCCACTCCGTCCTGAAGACTAACTAAGACCAATTGAGTCACGTTTTCATGTTCTAATTGAACACTTTCCATTTATGATTAAAGGAGAAGATTGTTCTTTTACCAAACATATGCGGATCAAATCACATCTTATAATAACAAGAAATCTTTCTCGGTATCAATCCCCTTGTCCCCCATTCTTTGAGAATCAGAAGGATTCTTTCGAGTTTCCATTTCTTCATTTTGAATCTAGGCTCTTCTATCTTCGACTTATTTTTTTGGCTTTATTCTTTATTTATTTCATTTCGATTTTCCCTCTTCCTCTATCCCTATCATCTAGGTACAACGTTTGCATCAATAGAGAACTTTTCCTATGTATGAATCGATATTATTCCATTTCAATTTCTTCCCGAAACTTCCCAAGAAAAATCCTGAATTGGATCCAAAATTGACGGGTTAATGTGAGCTTATCCATGCGATTAGGCACTCTTCAAATAGGGATCCATTTTCTAACTGGCTTTCGTGCTTTAGTGAGTCGTCCGAGATCCTTTCGATGACCTATGTTGTGCTGAAGGGATATCTATATGATCCGATCGATTGCATAAGACCCGCGGTAGCAATAGAACGGGGAAAGTATACAG